AAAGGTAAATAATCGTATAAGTATCCACCTAAAAACAAAATACTAGTTAATATACATATTAAAATAACACTAGCATATTCAGCCAAAAAAAAAAAATACAAATATAACAGCTGCGTGTTCTGTCATAAATCCACTAACTAGTTCCGATTCAGCTTCAGCTAAATCAAAAGGAGGTCTATTAGTTTCCGCTATAGACCCTATAAAAAATATAATAAAAATAGGAAATAAAGGTATTATAAATCATATAACTCTTTGAGCTTCTATAATTACAGTAAGGTTTAAACTTCCTGTTAGCATTATAACAAGTAATATAGCTGAACTTAATATTAGTTCATAACTTATTAATTGTGCAGTACTTCTAAGTGAACCCAAAAAAGCATATTTACTATTTGCACTTCAACCAGCTAATAATATACCATACGTAGCTAAAGAAGAAACTGCTAACATATAAAGTATACCTAAATTCAAATCACTTAAAGCTAATCCTGGACCATAAGGTACTACTAGATAACCTAATAATGAAAAGATTAAGGTAATAATTGGACCTAAAAAAAATAAAGCCAAATTAGCTTGTGTTGGTGAAATATATTCTTTTAATATAAGTTTTAAGGCATCCGCAAACGCTTGTAAAAGCCCATAGTATCCAACTATATTAGGACCTAATCTTCTTTGCATACTAGCCATGGTTTTTCTTTCCGCTACTGTTACATAAGCTACAGTTAATAATACTGGAACAATTACTATTAACACTTCTACTACTGAAATTAATGTTGGTAAATATATCATTTGAATTTGTATTTTCTAATTTTAATAAAAAATATCATTATATATAATAATGTTGTAATTTATTTAAATATTAGGTTAAAAATAACTTAATTTGTATAAAAAGTTATTTATTATTAATTAATAAAGAATTGCTATAAGAAAAAATTTAAATTAATTTTTTTTATTTCTTAAGACGAATTATTATTAGTATATGTGTTAAACCCAAGCTAAATTATATATATATATATATTTCTTTTTTATAAAAAGGAGGATAATAATTTAAATTCAGTATACTATACTATTACTACTCTTATTCAAGAATCGAACCTGAATCAGACTTAGTAAATACATGCTCTACCATTAAGCTAATAAGAGTTATTATACACTTTTTATTAAAATTATTAAGCCATATGAAATATAAAATAAAAAGTGTATAATAATAATGCGATCATAAAAATAAACCATGGCTAGTATAAAAATAACCTATAGACTAAATAGTTGTATAGTATTGTTGTATATTATTTACTTTTTTTATCTAAATATTTAATAATAGCACTATCACTACCAATTTTTCCTTCTATAGTTTTATTAATTATTTTACTTCTTACATCTAAAGGCGCATATTTATCTTTACTTATAATATCTACTAAAGTATCGTTTTCTGTTTTACTTAATTTAGTCTCAGCGTTCCCTGGGACACTACTACTAGCAGAAATAGATGCTTTATGCTCATCATTATATACAGCTATTTCTTTTAATTTTTTCACGGAATCTTTAATAATAGACTTTTCTTTTAGAGCAATTTCTGCTAAAACAGAACTTTTTTTTTAGTTGTGTTTCCTTAATCAAGGTTTCCTTTCTTAATAATTCTGCTTGTTTATATTTATAACTTTCGGTTTGCATTTCTGCAGCCCTACTTACTTTATTTAAAACATTCTGACGTCTTAAGGAATCCTCATCTGTAGGAAAATCAACATTTCTTTGGTTCTCGTTTAAAGCATCTATCATTTCTTGCTCCGTGTATAATTTTAAACGAAGTAACTCCCTTTTAGCGTATAGCTCGTCCTCAGACAAAATATTATCAGCCTTATTTAGAGAACTTAATCCATCTCTAAATATTTTACATTGAGCTTCTCAATAATTTTTATCGGTTTCCAAAGGAGTTATACTACGTGGACCCCTAAAACTACCTTCGTTAATATTATTATTAGTATCTATACCTTTACCCTTATCCATATTCAAAACTGAATATCGTTTTTTTTTAGATAAATTAAATTTATGATCTTTTAGATCATCATCAAAAATAAACATAGGTAATTTAAACGATAAGAATAAATCCTCAAAAAAAGTAATAAATACTGATTTTAATATGAAAAGCAAACAACCTCAAATAGTATTACTTAAAAAGGCGGTGTAATCAATCTTTATATTACCATAATAACCGTATCTAGCTAAAGCTATTATAGCTACGGTAGAAAGACCTCCTAGTAATTTAGGTCAAGTAAAACTTCTTCTTATTAAACTAAATAAATTAAAATTACCAAATATTCTACTTTCTAAAGGTAAACATACAAAAGTATGCGGTTTAGGAACATTAAAATTAATATTATAAATAAAAATAAAAAGCGATAATAATACTGAAACAGTTACTATTATTATTGAAATTAAAGTGGGTAAATATATCATTTGAATTTGTATTATCTAATTTTAATAAAAAATATCATTATATATAATAATGTTGTAATTTATTCAAATATTAGGTTAAAAATAACTTAATTTGTATAAAAAGTTATTTATTATTAATTAATAAGTAGTGTTTAAGAAAATCGAAAATAATAGAAACACATGAGGAAAAAAAAAAAAGAAAGGTAAACTGTTTACGATATAAAGTAAATAAGTTAAAAAAGGCTGAATTATATATATTTTTAAGGTATTATAACTATAAAAATAAATAAAAAAAAGTTTTTAAGCTTATTTTTTTTTTTTCTGCTTTACCTTTATTACTGCTCTTATCCAAGACTTGAACTTGAATCCAAATATTAGAAGTATTCTGCTCTACCATTAAGCTAATAAGAGTTAAACTATAATAAAACCCAAAGGACTAAATTATAGTGTAAATTGCAATTAAGCAATGTATAATAATTTATTAAATTTATTAATAAAAATAATATAATTATTTATGGAAGGTTATTTAACATTTTTTCAGTTAAAAAATTGTTTGCAGAAAACATTCTAAGTTCATAAAGTAAATCATAACCTTTTGAATAACTTAAATAATGGTTATCAATTATTAATTTAATTTCTTTAAAAAATTCATCTGAATTAAGACTATATAAATCTAATTTATCCATATAATTAATAATAGTATTAGCTAAAATTAAATTTAATAGAACATAAGTATAATCTTCTATAATTTCTCGTAACATAGTATGATCCAAAGTAAAATCAATTAAATATATTTCATCTTTATTAGGAGAAGCTAACATAGGAGCCAAAATATTATCTATTTGCCTACTTTGTCAATAAATAAAACAATTTTCTTCTAGAGTAGATACAGAAGAATTACTAGATTTTTTAACAGAATATTTTAAGGCAAAAAATAATTGATTGGCTTCTAATCCTAATAAAAACGAACTAACCATCCAATTGTAATAATAACTGATAACATCATTATTACTTGAGGCTTCAAACTTTGTACCTGTCAATGCTGTAACCTTAAAGACAGATGGACTAGGTGTATTATAACCTACTCAAGCTAAAAATTTTTCTTTTTCTTTATACATAGCTTTAATAGGTAATTTACCATGAATTAAGTTATGTTTAAGTAAAAAATCTGTTAATTCTTTAATATAATATGTTTTATTTAAAGTAGGATCGTATACAGTTTTATTTGTACGATTTTCCAGAGAAAATTTGTGGCCTAAAAAAATATCATCTGATATTTTTTTTAATGCAGGATATAGAGATAAAATCTCTTTTTTATTGTGTTTTTTACCATACTTATCTATAAAAAGAGCATAAGGATTAAGAACATTACCGTCTTCTAATAAATTAATAGAATTTACTTTTTTTATTTTATACAAATTTAAGACTTTGTTTTCTAGTTTTTTAAGTATAACTAACATATTAGTTGTAACTGAAAATATGGAGTTCTTATTTGAATTTATACCATTATTATGAGGTGAATCTACCAAGACAAAACTTACAGGTTTATCTTCGAGTAAACCTTTAGATTTTGATGTATCATTAGGTTTATCTTCGAGTAAACTTTTTGATTTTGATGTATCATTAGATTTATCTTCGAGTAAACCTTTTGAATTTAATATAGTAAAAAGAGATAACAGTATCAATATAAGTAAACTATTATCAAATATAGCTAAATAAGGTATAAACATATAAAAGATAAAACCTATTAATATATATAAAGCATAACTAGTTATAACACCGGTATCTAAACTAGCTATACTTCTACTTAAAGTAATTAAACCTTTTTCTAAACCATAAGGCCCTAATAACTCTACACTTCCTTTATCTATAACCTTAGTAGTTTGACCTCCTAATTTTAAAATAAGACCAGTTATATATTTATTATAAAATAATTCGATTAAGAAACGTTGGTTAAAAAATCCAAATATATTATAACCTAATCTAGAAAATTTAAAAGATATAAGAACTTTAGGTATAAATTCCGAAATAACTATAGCTAAAGTACTAAGAGATATAGTAAAGATTAAAGGTAATAATTTAAAGAAAGTAGGTACGGCAAACTCGGTATCTAACATTATTTCATGGATAGGATGTATGAATAAACTGTTATCTGCAAAAAAACCTGAACCTAACCCTATAAAGATGTCTTTAGTAATATAACCAAAGAATATAGAGAATACAGCTAGTATAATTAAAGGTAAACTCATAAATATATCACCTTCGTGAGCTCTTTTATCACTATAAGATGGAAAAGTATTGAGCATATATTGATCTATTGCATTACTTAGATTAGAATATTCTTCTCTACCTGAATCAGGATAATCCCAAAAAAAAGGATTGTATCGTTCAAAAGGTATGTCTTCTTCATTGTCATAATACTTCTCTATTATAGCAGTATAATTATATGGAGCTCATTTACTGTTGTCTTTTTTCATAATTGATACTCAATTACTTAGAACTCACTTTTCATAAGCAATGAAAGAAGCGCTTCTTTTATTTACTGTTGGACTCACTATCCGGTCGGATAAATGAGAATAATTAACCAGAGGCCCATTAGGGTTAGTTAAGAAAGTTAAATATAAAACTTTAACAGAATATAATGTAGTAAACATAGCACCAATAGTTGCTATAAAGTAAACTACTGTACCGCCAAAATTAAATTGTCCATAAGCAGATTCTAAAATAAAATCTTTACTATAGAACCCTGTCATAAATGGGAAAGCAACTAAACTTAAACTAGCTATTAACATTACAGAGTAAGTTAAAGGCAAGAATGGTTTTAGTCCACCATATTTTCTAAAATCCTGGTTATCCGCAACTGCATGAATTACGGCACCTGCACCTAAGAATAATAATGCTTTATAAAATGCATGATTAACTAAGTGAAATAAAGCTATGTTATATGAAGATAATCCTACTGCTATCACCATCATCCCTAATTGCTAATTATTACTTTTAAGATTTAAATATTTAATATGTCTGTCTTCTGTTTATTCTTGTAAAAACTTAAAGTTTAATTTGGACCATTTCTTTATTAATCTTCATATTTTTCTCATCTATCCTTAAATTTAACTCATTCTTTAAATTTAACAAGGTCTTTGTTATTCTTAGATACTCTCATTAAATAAAATTGTTTTATTAGATTAAGTCTTTTCATTTTTTCTGTTCTCAGAGGATATTTACTAAAATAATTCTCTATTAAATTAAATAGTTCAGCCTTTCTGTATATAACATATTTAAATGCATCTATTTTAGGGCTACTAATATCCACTCTTCCCCCATAAATATGAATTAAAGGTTCTAATAAATATCTATTTTTTTGAGATATACCGATAAAAACTTGCCCTGATGCTTCATTATAATATATTGAACCATCACTATCAATAAACCCACTAAGTCAGCCATTATTAAATATAAGGTTATTTGGATACTTTAGTTCAATATTAAATTTTACGCATAGTTTGTTTATTTGTAATAAGCGTGTTGGATTTCTAATTAATCCGTTTACATCACTTATTAATGCAATTAAACCTGCTCTATTTCTTAATTTATATTTAAAAGCAAGAGCATTTGAAACCTGTTTAACTCTTCCTCCATACATATGCTGTATTAAATATAAAACTTTTTTATTTCTAGCATCCATAGTTATTTCACAACTATTATAACCATTTTTTGATAACAAGAAGTAACCATCTCCATCTATTAACCCTGCTAATCATTCTTTGAAGGCGAGGTTTTTTAAATTATAAGTATCATTATTATCTAAGGAGTTTGTATGTATACTTGTAGACATTTTTCGACTAAAAACTAAACAATAGTTATTATTTAATAAAAGTGGACTGGGGAGCAAGAAAACCTGATTTTCTTTTTTTTTTTTTTAGATAAGCTAAGACCTGTTTTTTAAGGACAAATAACTTTGATATTGAATTAAATAATTTAACTTCAATGAAGACTAATATCAAACGTATGGCCTCTGAGATTCCTACTAACTTACTAATAATCTTAAATTTTCACCTTATTAACACAGACATAAAAGACTGGAATAACCTTATAATGGTAGATGAACTAAAAAACTTAAAATTATAGTGATTATTATAAAAATAATCACGAGCTTTGGTTATCTGCGAATTGGCTATTATAACTAATTTATTAATAGCTTCTACGCATATAGTTTGATGCCTAAATATACTAGAATGAGAAGTATATTCTCGAGCCAATTGACTCATAGTGGAATAAGCGATAACTTTTTTAATATCTTGTTGGAATAAACCAATAAGACTACTAAAAACAGTAGTGATTGCCCCTAATCATAAACATAAAATTAATACAGTTGAACTGTATTCTATTAAAGGACTTGTACGCATTAGTAAATATACACCGGCTGTAACCATAGTAGCAGCGTGTATTAATGCACTAACAGGTGTAGGACCTTCCATAGCCATAGGCAATCAAACATGTAACCCAACTTGAGAACTTTTAGCCATAGCACCTATTAATAAACATATACCTATAATTGTAACAATATTTTCGTTAACAAAAGGTGCTAATGAGAATACTGTAGCATAATCTATGTTACCAAAACTTCATAGTATAGCAAACATACCTATAGTTAAAAAACAATCACCCACTCTGTTAGTTAAAAAAGCAGACATAGAACTTTGATTTGCTGCTATTCTAGTAAATCAGAAACTTACTAAAAGATACGAACAAACTCCGACACCTTCCCATCCAACAAACATCAATAAGAAATTATTAGCTGTAACAAGTATAATCATCATAAAGGTGAATAAACTTAAATAACTAAAAAACCGCTGATTGTGAGGATCTGCGGACATATATCCTATAGAATATACGTGCACTAAAGAACTAACTATTAAAACAGGTATCAACATTGAAACTGTTAAACTATCAAAATGGAAACCTCATAAGACATTTAGTGATTCACTATCTATTCATCTAAAAAGGTTTATTGAGACAGGTATGTTATTTAAACCTACTTCAAAAAAAGCAACTATTGCTAATAAAGTTGTTACAATTACACTTGTACATGTAATTAATTGGGCTCCGCTAACACCGACTTTTCTACCAAAAAAACCGGAAACTATTGATCCTAATAAAGGTAAAGTAATTATAGCTAAATACATTATTTATATTCTATTGCAATACTTCCTCTTAATCTGTAAAAAGCAACTAAAATACCTAAACCAATGGCTGATTCTGCACCAGCTATTGCTATAACGTATATAGCAAATGTTTGGCCTAATATATCATCAAAGCTAAGTGAACTTATCAATATTAAGAATGTAATAGCTAATAGCATTATTTCAATTGAAATAAGCATTAATATTATATTTTTTCTATTTAAAACGAAACCTAAAATTCCGATTAAAAAAAGTATTAAGGTTAAATTCATTGTATATTTGTTTTTTATTAAAATATCGTTTTTACTGAATATTTTCAGCATTCCAAATGAAACTTACCACAAAAAATTTTGAAATCTTTAGAATAAATAAATATTTATTCTTTCTATCTCTACCTTATATAATAATTTTTTGTTTTTTATACAGAAAATCTAAGTAAGGGATAAGTCTATTTATAAAGACTAAGTATTTAAAAATAACTCATTTAAATAAAGAATAAAAGATTCGAACCTTTTTATACTAATATATTTAGTTGCTTTACCAATTAAGCTAATTCTTAAAAAAAAATTTTTTTTTATTTTTAGAGGTTTTCTAATAAATCAGATAAATATTGACCCTATAACCAATCAAAGGTCCGAAAAAGTATGTTCCTTAAGCTTTTCACCAGCTTTTTTTTTCATCTCATACAATTTCCTTGAAAACAATAGAAACCACATCCGAAATCACCTTAACAATGTATTCGTCACCTGTCCTCAACTCTACCCGTGACTCCACCCCAACAATTGTCGGGGAACCCTTGTGGCTCGATCCCCCTAGTCATCATGGTTTGCCTTTAAGCAGCAAAAGTAACTATGGTAGCCAACTTGGTTTTGCTGAGGAAAGATTTGCATCACCTTCCCCTATATTAGGGGGAGAGACGAGAAGGAAGTCTTACATGCTTCCTATGACTGAAAACGGGGGTAAAAAGGGTCAGTTTACTTCAGCTTTGATATGAGACAATTCTAACTTATTTTTAGATAACACCTCTTATCTTAGTCAAGAAGATAACGACCTATCCATACACGAAACGAAGCGGTTAGTAAAACTAGGCCGTGAGGTTGAACGCAAGAGGGAGGAAAGAAAGAAGAAACGAAACCAATTCAAGAATATTTGCAATAAGTTTCGTAAAGATGTAGATGAATATTTCAAGTCTGAAAGGATTGATATGGAGAAGGAAAAGATGATAGATGGGAGATCGTTAGTGGAAGATACTATGGAGATTTTATCTTCGCTACTAGCAAAGTCGGAGCAGTAACAGATGGTATGGGATACACATATTGTATTTGATTTGTAATGAGTTTTTTGCAGTGGGTTTTCTTTACATTTTTATAAGACAAAAAACAAGAAAATTTTTCTTGGAAATAAACCTGAGTATATCGTTAATAAATAAGAACAGGAAGTTATATAACTCAGCCTGAGCTAATAAGAGTTATTATACACTAATTATAACCCTAAATAGTCGAGTACAAATAGTTTATATTAATATATTTTTTATACTCCTTATTAAAGTATAGACTAGTTAAATTTGCAATTAAGCAACGTATAATAATAATAATAAGAATGCCATGATATATATACAAATGTAGGGTTCTCACCGATTATATAGTGACATTACTAATAACATTTAAATATGACATATATATATTATATATGACATATATAACCTAGATAATGTTAACAATCACAAACAACAGTAGACAAACTATCCAAAGCAGGAAAACTAGCAACAATTGTATATAGTTTAAATAGTTATTATACTCATTATTTATAAACTAAAAAAAAAAACAAATTGAAATAAGGAATAGGTGATTTGAACACCTAACCGACCGTGTGTAAAACGGTCGCTCTACCGTTGAGCTAATTCCTTAAAAAAAAAGAGCCTAATTAATTTTTATACGGTTATTTATTGCATAAAATTAATGTTTTAATCCTTTAAACTATCATTTTAATTTAAGGGTTACCTAATAAATACCTTTTAAGAGTTTATTGGTGTTAATATAGTTTATTGTTGCATGATTAACATCAACACCTCTTACCGTGGCACGTATATAATCACATGTTTTCACAGAATTATCTTTGATGTTTATAGTTGTTGTAATATGACCAATAGCTAATAGATGATAAGTTTTTCTTAGAGATCATAATGGAACAAACCTTTTTCTTTTTTTTAATTAGCTAAAGCTTCAGGACTAAGTTTACGGTCTTTAAATTTTAATATTGTTTACGGTATATGTTTGAACCCTAAATTTGAGCCTGCTTTAGTCAATATGTTATATTCTGGTTTTAATAAATCAATATAATACTGTTCTCTATCTAATACAGAATATATATCATAGTATTCCTATATATCTAAATTAAAATTATTATAGTCATGGTATAATAAAGCTCGATATAGACTATTTCTTATTTGTAATTTTTTTATTCAGATCTTTATTATAGTTTAAAAGCCTAGAATGTAAATATACAGAACTTACTATATAACATTTATTATTTATCCTATTAACTGATCTATAAATACCGCTTTTACCTAAAATATAGTTTAAATCATTAGATTTATTCAATAAGGAATTATTATAAATAATAAAGGATTCAAACTTAGAACTAAAGAAACGCATAGTATTTTTATTTGCAAATGAAAAATTAGATTTATTAATGTTTTTATTCATGTTTAAATTTTTATAATTTATTGAAAAAAGAGACGAACTCCTCTAGTGATTAAAGAAAGAAAACAAGTTAAATGTGAATATTTTATCAAAACAAGGTTTTTAGTGTTATTGAACAATAATTTTGGTTTAAATATAAAAAAAGGCGTTAAGCTTAGTATATTAATAAACAATAGCCTGAGGAGAAAGTCGAATTCCCATTATTAATGCATGAAATTAATGTTCTAACCATTGAACTACTCGGGCTGCATTAATTATCTTTAATTAATAAATATAAATTTAAGTTGAGCCTTCATTAATGATGTATAAATAATAATATATATTAGCTTTATGCTTTCAGTGTGAATACCCTGATTCGAACAGGGAAATTACTGTTCCACATACAGATGTTCTACCATTGAACTATATTCACAAACGTAGATACAAATAAACCCTCTAATCGACCTAAACATAATAATCATTGTCGTCACACGGTCTAGCAGACATATTTATTTGCTTTTTGCATCGAATTAATAGAAATATGATAACATAATTCGTAATGTGTTGGTATGTTGAACTATGATATAAATTATGTCGGAGTGATTCGAACACTCAATTATAAATACCAAAAATTTATGACTTACCGATTAGTCTACAACATACTTGCTAATATATTGTGCTTAGAGTATAAGGTAAATCCGATTTGAACGGACAAGATATAAATCAAATAGTCCTAAGCTATTCATGTCTACCAATTCCATCACTACCTTTTAACTGCTCCAGATAAGATTCGAACTTACAACCTAAACATCTTCAGAGTTCCGCTCAACCAATTGAGCTTCTCGAGCTATAATAAAAGGAATTTTTATTATATAAAGTTAGTTAATATTTTTTCCAAACAAATACTATAAAAATATATTTCAACGTAAACTATAACATATGTATTTAAATTAACAGAAAATATAGGCTAAAGGTATTTAATTTTATCATTAAATAATCATAGAACAATTTAATAGTACACGTATTTTAAATTTAAAAGTAAATATTAAGTAGGCCTAAACAACTCTAGGATTTCAGTTGTTATTTGATCTGAGAAAGAAAACCCTTTCGAGTGATTTGCATTAAATCTGAAAGCATAATTAGGATAAACCTCTGTAATTTTATTTTTCCTAGTTAACCTATCACGATCAGTAAAAGAGAGATTAACTAGGTTATTATTGTTCATAGTTAATCCCCTATTAGGATCAATATTATCCGATACAAATAATAATCTAGATAGTTTAGCATAAACTACTTGTAAATTATTGTTATGTCTAGGATCTACGTCTTGCTCATGATTAATATCAACCATATGCATAATTAGTGGTTGATTATAACCCCATTCTGGTAAATCATTAGTACATATAACAAAAAAAGACGTAAAAAAAATATAATTAATATTGTTTTAGGTATACTATTAAAAGCATAACAGATAAGTATTAATTTAACCTTAAAATATTCTCGATATACGATATTATTTACTAAAACTATGTATCAAAAATTTAAAGGAAGGCTTATAATAATAGATAGATCAAAAATTGTAACTAAATATAGAAATACTGACATAAAAATATTAAGAAAAAAAATATGCATTCATTATTATACTATAGTATAATAATGAAGTAAATAAAGAAACAAATCGGAATAATATGTATTTTGAACAAATATACACTGTTATTATAAATAACACAAAGGCAAACGATACCTCTATTGCATCATTGACTCTAACAACTAGCGGGGTATTAACTATGCATGGATTTACTAATGCACAGTTTTTTTTCTGCTTTTGTAATACATAGTATTATCACTACTACTATTATACCTCTCTTGATAAAAACTATAGATAAAGTAAAAAAGATGATAGTATTAAAATGGATTTAAAGCTGGAGAAAACAGGAATTGAACCTGTAATCACAATGTGCAAGATTGTTGTTTTACCTAATTAACACTATTTCCCCATATAAATATATATGTATAATAATTATTAGGGTATATACACCCTTATGTTGTATTTTGTATATTATATAAATATAATATTTTATATTTATATATATATTTGGTAAGTATATACACTATTACTATAATGTAGTAAAGATTAAATATATTAATATATAATATATGTTACATATTATAATTTGTTTTATCCGAAAAACGACTTGAACGTTCACGATGTTATATCAATAAAACTTAAGATTATCCTGTCTACCAATTCCAGCACTCGGATTAAATAATATTGTAAATACAACATTATAAGGCCAGAGTGATTTGAACACTCATCTCAGC